TTTGAGAAAAATACAGTTCTTTGACTTAAAAGCCCCTGTACCTTACAGCAGACAAGACTACTCTGGTTGAGAGACTTTAACATATGTTTTTAAATGTTGAATTTAAGGCGACAGAAGAACATACAAGAGAAAATACCCAGTAGGCAATTGGGGAAATAAGACCAGAGCTCAGGAAGGAGATCAGATATAGGTTTGGGAATCATCCCAATAAAGCTGACCACAGGTGAAACCGTGAGGGAAAAAAAAAAAAGGATTTGTAAAGAATTAATTTAGGAAAAGAAGATAAGGAGTGGCAAGTTCTGATATGTGTGAGGTAGGAGGAGAAAGTAAAACTAGGGAAGAAAATGAGAAGAAACAGTTAGCAAACGTGGAAGTGAGGCAAAAGAGGAAAACATCTCAAAGAAAGAGGGATATTCCCTTGGATTAAGTACTGCTGAGAGCCCAAAAGGGAAATGGTGGAGGTGCAGCTATTAAGCTAGCAATTAGGAAGCACAGGTTTAGGGTAAAGTTGTTTGGTGGTCAACTGAGATATTCTTTTCCAGGCATTAGGGCTTTTTCAGATAAACTCATCAGCTTGAGAAAATCAGAAAGTTAGGCTGGTACAGTGAGATTTTACAAGACCCCTACTCTAACTTTCTCACTGCACCAGTCAGACATCAGAGGATTTCATGACACCAAAGGACAAAAACATCTGAAGGACAAAAGCTGGCACTGTGTTTAATTAACCATGCACTCCTTGGAAGGAAGATTGGGCAATCTATTTCTGTAGAGATACCACCTCAGAAACCCAAGAAGGGCTTGCTATGAGTCGGATTTGACTTGACGGCAGTGAGTTTGGTGTTTCTGGTTTGGGTGTAGTGCCTAAGATATGTGACTTCTGACTAGAAGGTTGGTGGTTCAAACCCACCAGCCACTCCGCAGAAGGAAAATGAGGCAATCTACTTCCATAAAGATTTACTGCCTTGGAATCCCAGTAGGGGTCACTATGAATCAGAATAGACTCAAATGGCAGTGGGTTAATTGGGTGGTCAAAATATGTTTTAATGGGGGAAAAAAAAAAGACTGCTTGCAAATGTCAGGTAACATATTTGTTGGAGGAAGGAATTCCAGTAATTCCTCTTTTTTTCTTTTCTTTTTACAGCATCCATTTTTAAAATTAGCCAAGCCTCTCTCCAGCCTGACTCCTCTGATTATCGCAGCAAAGGAAGCAATTAAGAACAGCAGCCGTTAGGACTGCAATCCTTACCACACACCATCTCCCTCATGAATAAGACTGAAATAAAACTCTGCTGCAGGAAAGATGGAAGAAAAGACAGTCAAATGTGGTGGGGGTTCTTTAACTTTCAAATGAATAGAAACTTCTTATAAGCCTTTTTCCTACTCCCTAAGATTATGTAATTTATTTGTAAGCCTGAATCGCAGCCCAAACAGGGCAGCAATGTCGAAGTGGCCATAAAGTGGTCACTTCTACCGTGAAGCGAAAGAGCCAGTAGTGAATCCTCTCATTTTGTGCATTCACTTTGAAGAAAAGGGTTTCTCAAAGATGCACACTCCCTCTCCATAGTGTTGTGTTTGTTTTTAAGTTAGAGAGTAGTCCCTCCTTCATCCGAGCCTCCTTCAACACTCCTTACCCAACGTGATGTTTTTCACATGCATTGTCATTAGATGTCCAGAAAAAAAAAAGATGGTAACACAAAAAAAGGAAAGCAAAAAAGCAAAGCAAAAAAAACAAAAATAAAAAAAAATTATAAACAGAGCAAGTACTGTGTGAACATGTGGAAGTCCATGCCCTAATAGAGTTGCAATTTTTTATTCTTCTTCTATAGTGGTGGCTTGGTTTGTGTACCTATTTTTCTGCATTTGTATTGGAAAAGGTTTCTTTTAAGACATTTTCCAAAAGAAGAGAGGAATATGTGTGTTCAGGAAGGGCTTTTAAAATCTGTATATTTAAATAAAGCTCAAATGGTGAAATCCTGTCACATTTTCATGATGATACTTAAGGGGCAGTTCATTGATCATTTATATAAACCAGCTTGCTCATCTTCATAATGCCTGAAAAGGGACACACCCAAACAGTGGCACTCCTGTTGGGCAAGTCCAGGTCCTGAACCTGGGAAATCTTGATAGGAGAAACCACATTTAAACAATGATGGAACTTTCTCTGAGAGCCAAAAGGAAAACAAGATACATGTGTAATACTGAAATACTTGTTGGAAAGTAAGTGAACAAAGGTAAAGATACCTATTTAATCCTCTCTTGTGCTTATGGAATGTATGCACTGTAAAACAGGTACATCAGGGGGCAATGAACCCATTAACCAACGTTTCCATATGATTAAAAAATGATTCCTCTTGACAATTTATAATGTTTTAATGATTTTTAAAATTCTGGCACACACAGATATCACAAGCATCCACTCTATAAGACATTAGACAAGGGAGGACAGTGAAAAGTACATCTCAATCAATATTTGGCTCTAGGTACTTGTTTCTATTTATCCCTATGTATCACCAATTTCTGTTTCAGGATATGGTGTGTTCATACTTAGTCTCTCGGGCTTTTGAATTTCACAAACATGTTCATAAAGATCTTGAAATTCTTTAGTGAGAATAATTTTGGTTTACAGTCATACTTCCCGTGAAATATAAGTCCAACTGAATTCTTTTTGTAACTTGGGGAAACACCAAAATTTGACTATTGTTTCACCATTATATATCTATTTTTTAAAAATTCAACAGTTGGCACTTCCTAAATCTTCTGAGAGTGAAAAATATCCGGAGGATGTCTGTGTAGAAAAAGATATGCTTCTCTTTAAAGTGTATTGTCAATTTTCTAAATTCTGGAAAGTTGTTTCTCTAAGCCTTTGAAAAGCTAACAATTTATGCTGAATAAGGCTTCTTGGTTTTAAGTATATCAGGAATCTCGAACCTATTATTTACATTTAGCCAGAGGGGGACAGAGATCAATGACATGGGGCTCTCTCCTTCTCTGTCAAAGTGCATCCATCCATCTAACTGTCCAACCGTCCATTCCTTAAAATGAAAGCACTTTCTTTAGACTTTCTGCTAACCATGTAGTGCACATGTTTATGTTTAGGAGATGACACCGCTGGTGGAGATCCTATTTTCCTATTTGTTTTCTTTGACTATGATATGTAGGAGGGGCTTGACCACTCAGAAAATATCCACCAAGGGATAAAACAACAGATACGAAAAGAAAAGTCAAATGGTTGGTAATATTAATTTGAAGTATACTATGTTATATTTTGTAAAAAAAAAAAAGAAAAAGAAAAAAAAAGGTGGCCGCCAGGTTTGCTGGTCCAGTAGAGCCTGGTGGAACCACTGAGACTACGGCCCCTCGCTGCCCTTCAGGTCTGGAATTGAAAAAAAAAGAAAAAGAAAAAAAAAGGTGGCCGGGCCTGAAATTTTTAATGCTACACTGTTCTAATGAGAGATAGAGGCCTTAAGTTTTGTTTCATTTAAAAATAAGGGTTTTTGTTTTTTCTTTTTATTTTTTTTTCCACTCTTAGTGCCAGAGAATTCAAGGAAATACCTAGGATGCAAATAGAATTCAGTACATTGATGACTTTGTCCTTCTGATGGAGGAAACCCAACACCTGGTTGGGAAGCCCTAGTTGTCAGTTAGCATCCTTTGTAAATCATAAAGGCTTTGTTTTGTTTGTTTGGGTTTTGGAGACACTGGAGCAGTGACCCTTCAGATCACTGTAAGCAGAGGAGTGGCTGCTCTTTCATGCTTCCAGTTCAGCATAATAAAAATGAGAAGCCAGGTACTTCTCTGCCACCACTTTGTACCAAGATTTGATGATAATATATCCCAGTAGGCATTACCCTTACAAATTTATATCTATGTACATTTTTAAATGAGAAGAGCTTCTAATATTCTGTCCCTAAAGACCCTTCCCTGTATTGGAGAGTTCTGTATATTTCTAAGAAGTATTAAAGAGAAGCTGTTTCTCCTGCCAAAATGATGCTGAAGGACTCACGTCTGGTACACTTGAACAACTTGAGCTCCAGATGGTTAGTAGTTTGTTCCCTTTCCCTTGTGTTTTTGTTTTGAGCTCATCTTGACACAGGTGAGTCTATCCAGATCTTTAATGTTGCTAGTGTGCCCTGAGGTTATGAGGGTACATTGTGGAATGTTGATTCCAAAATGTCCTGAGAGAGGAATAGGGCAGTGAGAAAGTCAGGGAAGGGTGACAAGCACAGTAGAAATTATTTATTTAAGAAAGAAAAGAACATTAATGTTGTAGCAAGGATCCGGTGCGTTGTCATAATCCCATGAGGATTTTTGGATATCACAATCCCCTCAAATCAGTCACCATGTTGGGTAATGACTTCGTTCTTGCTGATCTTGCCTATGTGTCATTGTAAATATTTGTGTGTCCATGTTCCATTTTGGCTACTGGATGGCCAAGTCATGTAAGAAGATTTAACTCAAGTATTTATTCTTTAATTGTGTTATTCAGATTTCTTTCAGGCTTGTGAATTGCACCCCCCAATGTTTGAGTTTAATCACCTGATCTTCACATCTAGCCATCCTCCGTGAAGCACATTCCATTGCTAAAAGAAAAAGAAATACGAAATTGCTTCCTGTTGTCTGTATAACTGTTTTGATAGTTTCAGATGTTTGTCTATAAAGGATATTTCTCAGCTCAAAGATTGTGTAAATAATTATATTCCTTTGCTCAATGGGTTGTTTATTTCTGATGAGGCTGCCAGTTCTCAGAGAAAAATCTATAAAATCACTTTTAAATAACATAAACAGGGATTACAACTATGTAAAAATAAGTGTGCATAAGGACAAAGACTGGGAACACAGATAATTGAAATCAGTTGTGTTAGGGTGGTGGGATTATGAGTAATTTCTTTTTAAAATATCCTTTGATATTGTTATAATATTGTTTTATAATAAATAAACATCAGAGAGGGAACGATAGAAGCATAGAAAAGAAGCCAGAAGCCGAGCCTTCTGGCCAGAGCCCAGAGCATGCAGGGCACAGATATTTGCTAGTTGAAATGATTCCATAGGCTTTATACTTGCCTGGGTGCTGAAGTTGGCACATGCTTGGGGATGGCACATGCTTTCTTAGGGGACTGTTACCTATAAGTTAAAGCTAGGGAAATAACACTATTAGAACTCCAAATACATCCTTCTTTAAAACTGACTGCCCTCCACACTGGTATGGGATCAAGTTACTTTACATTGGAGGGGTGACATTTGACATTGACTACCCCCCTTGATAACATCTATTTCAGGTACCACCTTTCTGGATCATTTAGCAGATTTTCAGGTTGACTTTTGGAGGGATAGAAAAATAAAATCCCCAGTCCCTACTATTTCTTTGTCTGACAGGATATTTTACCATCTAGGTAGGATTCTTCTTTGAATGGCCAATAGGCAAGTCTGATGTATTCTAATAGGAGTTATGACTTGCAATTAAAAGCTGCCTATGAAAACATTAAGTTCTATATTTAGAACTGCCTTTACCTGTTGATGAATCATAGTCCTTTGACTTGAGATGTTCCCCACGTGTTTTCCGTACTGCTTGAATATAGGCTGTGTGCAGTCATTACAGTTTCGAAAGATAAAGGGAGAGTCTCTCTGAAAAGAGAGGAATTTCCTTCTAACTCACTAGATAAATTTTAGGTGAGGACTTTTATAACGAGGTAGTGGCCTCAGATCTGTTCCTCAGTTTCACCAAAAGCAGGCTCTATTCCTAAAGAGCCCACAGACTTTCCATTGGCCAGACTCAAAGTGAAAATACTAATGAAGAGTCTTAACCCCGCCATCCCCAGTTTAATCTCATGGCCCTTTTCTTAACTACTTGCAGTTAATATTCAGTTAAACAAAGGCATGGCCAATGATGCAAGCTTCTCCCAGTCTCTGAGCAAGAGGACTGAAATTCAGTATTTGTAAACTGACAGTCTAATGGGCCTAGTTGGGATTTTGAGTGAACTTAACACGCATTCTGAACATATATTTGCATGTGGATTGGGAAGGAAATAAATGGGACCTTGGAAATAATGGAAATATTTTTCCTAAGAAACACTTTTTAATAAGAGATTTGTTTCTGATATAATCTTTTTCAGTTGGTTAGCTTTGATTTTTCCACTCCTTTTCTGATCCCATGCTCATTAAGTAAGTGAATACAGCCTATCTCCTCATGCACTGGGAATTTCTGTTAAATATGAAAAAATGTCTAACTGAATC